GGACATCTTTGTTTGATCCTGTTATATATAGTCCTCATCAGTTGCCAATAAGCTCCCATCTCCTCCTCACACGATCTCCTCCATGTCATCCTCGAACTCACACCCCAGTTTGTCATTTCCCACACGGGCTCCACACGATGGCCTGATGCTGGATGTCACTCAACGACAACCTCAGTATGTGTTCAACCCGTCTAAACTTCTCTCTACGTCTTTTTCAGGCAACAGGATCTTGGCTGGATCGTTCCCAGAGTTCATTTTTACCATCATTTCTGGCCCTTCATTTTGTCTACAGTATTGAACGAAAGTAGCTGCTGATAAGGACTTGTGGAATGTTAGAAAGGTTTCTGGTGATGCGCGAACCAAGTCTCTAACGCATATAGAACAAGTGAATTTACATTTATGTTAAAAATCCGAATTTGGTTCCTTATTCTGAGTGTACCGAATTCTCATGAAGCATAAGATATCAGTAATCTTACAAAGTAGGGTTCAAAGATAAAAAGTCACTGAAATGTATTGTTCCACTTTTAAGGGAAAAGTGAAGTCAAAAGTTTAAAGCATATAAATAATTTATGGTAGTACAAAAAAGAAAAATAAAGCCTTTGGTGGGTGATGAATCGGTCTTCTAAAAGAGAAACTACAAGAATTCCTCAACACAGCTGTACTTTGGTTAAATAAGTATTGAAGCAGAATATGCAGTGAATTTTGAGCTGGTTTTGGTTCTTGATTTTACTGATTATTTTATTGTTGTTATTATCCCATTGGGTTTCGAGTGGAACATTTTATCTTGTTCACTGAAATCCGTTTTAGCCTAAACTAAGATCACTTTTCATCCTCTTCTCACAAAGTCTAATCCTGTTACTCTTGAGCGCTCAAAGCGTCATTTTCCATTAGGTTTTCAATTGAGGACCTGGCTCGTGACGTTACTCGATGTATCGCTCAGCATGTGCGCAATCTACCTCCATTTCTTCCTCAATATATGTTGAGCGGTGGATTTTTGACTGGCTCATTCACAGGTTTCCTTGTTACTAAACCTTTCAGGTCTTCAACAATGAGGAAAGGTAGCTTTTTATGAGGGTTTTCAGTAGAATTAACGACCCTACCAGTGACGTGTGCAAGTCTTTGAACCATGTAGAAATACTGATTCAATAATGGTGTTGGATATCCAGTTATTATTCCACATGATGAGTACGGTAGATTACCATACTGACTTCAGATTAATGAGGATTAGTCCAGCTTTTCTATGCCTGTCCGTAGCTGGAGCGAGTTGCCTTGAAAAGTGAAAGAGATGAATTCCTCTAGATTTCTCTAGTTGATGGCTGTTGACGCTTGCTATCGGTTGTTGGCTAAGTATCTTCATCACGTCCGTCATCTGTAATGCTCACCTAAAGTCCTATCTTTGCTGCTTCTCTTGACAAAGTTCTTGTTTTTGCCTGTAATTCTTCGAATTTATGTAGTATTGGACATAAATCATCGACAAAATTCAGGTCTTCTAGAGTTTTCTTATTGGTCCAACGCATTTCTTTCATATCGCCCCCCCCCCAAAGTTTCTCTCATGACCCAATTCACCACAAAAAGAAATACGACTGGTGATAGTAGGCAGTTTTGTCTTACTCCTGCTTAATGAGTTCTATAAAAGTTTGAGATACTTTGTAGTGTTAAAATAACTCATAAATTACCTGAAATTCAATGCGGTTGCAATTGATTAGACGTATATATGATCAATATTGTTTTCATTTAGATGTTTCTCAGGCTATTCTATAAAACACATTACAGTTAGCAATATGAATTGTGAAAATGTAAACAGTTCAGCAATCAAATCATGTGGAAATCTTTGAATATTAGAAGAAACGTAGTGCTAGACAAACATGAAAGTTCTAAACAGCAAGAAACAGGTGAGTTTCTATAACATATTTATTCATTAAATTTGTCTAGACCAGTGGAAAGAGTAAGGTAGAAAAAACTTCTTTCAAATGGATAGACCGCACTGATTCTCCAGAATTCCCATTCAAAAAGTTCAATGGATTATGATAAATAACCCTTAAAGAAGTAATACAGTCTGCCTGATGACCACATCCAACCGACTACAACGATACCATGCTTCTTAATGATTTCATTACAGATTTTCTCAATCACAGAGTTCAATGAACATATAAATTTATCAGATGTTTCTTCACATACGCCTTTTCCACAAAATCATCTAAATTTGAAAATGCGCATAGAAGTACCACATATGTATAATTTATCTTTTATTTGGCACATGATAATGAAAGTGATAGTTTCATTGTAGTTCCCTTTTACGCTTCGAAAAAGTCTTTGGTATCCAAGCTTTCTAACCATGTCTGAGTTAGTTACAGGATTTCATTACGAGCTGAAACTGGTTACAGAACCATTGGAAAACCTGAGAGTACTGGACAGCTGATTCTTCAAACTAGTTTGGGACACTTCAGCAGTACGTACCCACCAGGGTTCGAACCCAGGACTTTCTGGTGACAAGCCAAGCTCGTATAACATCAACCCACTGCGACCCGATCCAATGGCCCATGAATTCTAACTTGTGCTATTTCACGATATGGCGCAACCGCTAGTCAATGTCTTCAGCGAGTATTTGTCCTCACACCCGACCTACTGCACCCAACTGGTCATGATTTCCCACTAGCACCCCTGGTAACTACCTATCTGAATAGGGCCAGTCGCCAGTTAGTATCTAGCTGATATTCAAGTATTAGTTTTTAGGGATTTTTTCGATTTTTTACAGGATTTTATTTTAAATATTAGTTTCATAATCAAATATACCTTTTCAACAATGATTTGTTGTGGTGATTGACAATTTCTATCTCTGTATTGTTTAAATACTTACTGTTGACTGTTGATATGTTTCTTATATGAATTGCATAATGATTCCGCTAAATACAAATTCCTGAGTTCTGCCCTCTCTGTGTTTTGTTTGGATTGTCGTAATTCGGTCAATTAGAAATACTGAAACTACGATTAAAATAAATTACTACATTTATCTACAGTTTTTGCTTCCTCTCCTCATATTTGCTTCGAAAATCTATTTGACGCTCATGCTTTTTCATGAGCCTTCTAATACACCATCTCAATAAGTCATTTCCCATTTACTTGTAAAGACTGTAACCAAACTAAATGAACACAAACTTTAAAGAATCCATCTTTTGACCCGTATAATCCACCTTCCCACATATTAGTTTTTCGAATTCAGAAAAGTGTTCAACGAATAACCAGTCGCTCCGATATCAGTTCACATAGTTCCAACTCAATAGTCAAATTATATTTGTTTAATAATTCATATTTCTCAGTGTTGTTAGTGATAAAACCATCAGATTCCAGTATGTAGTGATTAGCTGGTGTTTTCGATTCAAACAAAATTCTATGTTAAAATAAACTACTGCCTATCAAAGTTGAATGATAAGATAAAAGGAAACTAATTTTTTTAATAAAAAACTTCCAACATTCATAAACATACGAGAGATTTAAAAAGTATTTCATGGCAGGTAATCTAAACTCTGTCTTCATCTCTACTTCTATAAACTTGAATAGATAAAATAAGTCTTCTTTTTTTTAACTACCAATGGATTCTATTTTTGGAGCAATCCATATACGCAAATGTCAGAATTTGAAAAAAATGTTTACATCAATTAGAAAACTATTTGGAAAATAAGGAGTACTAAGCAATTCTCTTGGTCTAGTTCGGAACCTTTTAGCGTAACAAACCCGGGAATTTCGAAATACAATGCGAGCTCGTGGACCATTCAGACTCTGAGATTCTACCCATTGGCCCACAAAGTGCAAATTCTGCCAATTCACGGTATATATAGAGCAGCCACAAGTAAGTATCATAGGCAAGTAACTACTGTTCCCTACCTGACTTTATGGAACCCGATGGATATGACTTTAATGGAAACAAAACACGTAGATCAGTGAAGAGTCTCTTTTCGGAGAATTCATTTTCTTATCTGTGCAATCGCAAATATATATGTGTTATTTTATATGTATGTGTACACTAAGATTGTCAAACAAAATCACAATTGGTTATGGTTATTTTAACCAAACAGGTGAAGGTCTGTAATACAAGTCAAGAAAATTAGATGTTAATCAAACTAGAGTAGCATCCGACGCATCTGTAGCCCCGACGTTGTGGAAACAGAATTGGATATTCTAAGAGAAATCTTTATCCAAAATGGATATCCAATAAGTTCATTGACAAAAATATGAAACCAATAATTCGGAGAAATGAAACTTTAATTGCGCCTAAGAAGAAACTCTACATGAAATTGAATTTCAAGGGAGATTTAGCAAGCGATATTCTCAAGAGAAGGATCACATCATCTCTGAGAAGAACATTCTTTGCAGCAACCCTAAGAATAGTGTTCTCCAGTCCCCACTGATCTGCAGAAGCCTTAAGGACAAGATCCCGCATCTGGCCACTTCTATGTGCATATATTAGTTCACCTGCTGCTGTGGAGCCGGGTACATCAGTCGTTCGACGCGCATCCTGTCCAAAAGGATGCTACTCTAGTTTCATTAACATCTAATTTTCTTGACTTGTATTACAGACCTTCACCTGTTTGGTTAAAATAACCATAACCAATTGTGATTTTGTTTGACAAACTTAATGTACATATACATATAAAATAACACATATATATTTGCGATTGTACAGATAAGAAAATGAGTTCGCCAAAAAGAGACTCTTCCTGATCTACGTGTTTTGTTTCCATTAATGCCTGGATAGGGATTATTCATGAATTGAAACGTAGCAAGGATTCGACTTTGTACTAGAACTTCAGGTACTCGGTTCGAACCCCGGTGGTGTGTCCCACTGAAGGACCTAAAACTAGGATGAAGAGGCTGTCCAGTACTCTTTAGTTTTCCAGTGATTCTCTAACTGATGTCAGCTCGTGATAAAACCTGTAATCAATCAAATCCCTGCAAACCAATACTTGATAATTTATGTAAATGTAATATAAACAAGAACTTACAAATATTCCACCATACTCAGGACGTAAATTCAATGACTGCCACAATGACTGATCATATGCCAAGCGACGCCACATTTTGCATACACGTGCGATATTGCATAATTCTGGATGAGTTAGATGTGAGAAAATTTGTAGCATAATTTTCTCGGGTAACCGCGTTATAAGAAACTACAGAAAAAAATAGAAAACCAAAAATTTAGAAAATGTTAAATTACGCATGGTAAAATAATAAATGTGAATGACTGTACTGTGAAATCTTGTTGTAAATGCATGTAATAAATGTAAATCAGAGATATCGTGAGCGTTGATTGAATCTGAAATGAAAATACGAGTAGTGACCGGGCTTGAACTAGTTTCATACAATGATTCCCTTTTACAAATTTGAACAAAGAAAGAAGAGACATTGTCACAGAATAATCTGGAACCATTTTATTTCGTTGGTTCTCATCATCTGCGTACAACATGAATTCTTTAATAAAATAAAAAAGTGTACAGTTTTACCTTAATCTTGTCCATTAGCAAGCATACTGTCAGAGAGTCGTATTGAAATAAGGCGTTGCGGTTTACAAGGTGTCTCAAGTGTTACAGTGAGCAGAACTCAGGAACTCAAGAAAAATTATCTCTTGAGAGAGTCAAGCGAAAAATAAAAGGGGGAGGTGAAGTGAAAAGATTAGTTAACGAAATTAGAAAACGAAGAGTTAGTTAGAAGTGAGTCACCAGGGTAATTGACGTCCAAAAACCGATTCTTTTTGGACATATAAGTCAGGCTTCAATCGTTTTATTGCTATAGTTTCAGTAAACCTGAGAAGATTTGAGGTACTTTGTCTGTTAATTATTTTGAATGATTTCAGCACGTCTACTTGATGTCCTGTATCAATCAGGTGTTTTGCGATTGAAGAGCTTAAACGATTCGGTACCTTTAACCGGAGGCCCCATGGTACATGTTCGCAGAATCTGACGCAGGTCCTCCTCTCTGTTCCTTCAATGTAACTGCTCCCTCAGATACATGTGATTTAGCATACACAGCTGGAAGTAACATGTAACATGTGAGGTAACTTGTCAATCTTTGATCGCCCCAGTGAGGAGGTCGTTCAGGGTAGAGAGACTAATAATGCTACAGGATACGTCCCAGGTAGGGCTGCGCCTAATCTTTTATTTACCATTCTCATAATGTCGTCGCCCTTGCAGTCAATTTTGATGAAAATAGGCTTCTTATTCACTGTAGCTTTATCAAGCTCCTTGAGGTCATTCTTTTCATACTTGTTAATGAAACTTTGTGGATAACCACTTTCTTTCAAGCATTTTTCAAAAATCATCAGTTCACTGTCTAGTTTGTTTGGTGAACATATTCTCTTCGCTATAAAGAAAAGCGTTTTCACCAGCGTCCGTTTGTGTCTCACTGGGCAGAAGCTGTTGAAATTCAAGCAAAGATCACTTCATGTTTCTTTACAGATCTTTCAAGTGTCCTGTCGTATTATCTCTCCAGCTTGACGCCCGAAAAATGGAACTTTTCATCATCTTCATGCTCCATTGTGAAAGTGATCCTTTTGTGTACATTGTTAAACCAGTTGCATACGTATTACTAATGCAGAGCCCTACCGACTGAGCTTCAGTTTTCAAATGCTTCTGACTAGCAGTTCATAGGAGGTCTCAAAAGGCTGCAGCAAGGCCTGTCATTTTACCCTCAGTCATCACCCATTACACCAATAACAGTCTGCCAACCTAAGTCATTCCAAGTTATTGTGTTTATTATATATATATATATATATATATATATATAAAGTGAAATGATGTTATTTACTGGATGCAGTTTCGAATACAATTTATTGTTCACAATCATACAAATTAAAGTGAAAATGCGTGCTACTATAACGCTCAAGTTTCAAACACATTATTGCAACACAAAACTATCTCAGACTGGAACGTCGATCTCAAGGGAGACTATACCTCGACATATGAATTCCATCATCTTTGAAAACATTCTTCCCAACAACACTAAGAGCATCTTCCTTCAGTCTTCTACAGGTATGTTGAAGCCTGAAGACGGGATGACACATCTGGCCACTTCTGCTAGCATATATCTGCTTACCTGTTTCTGTGGAGCTAGGTATAGTGATCATTCAACACGTATCTTGTCTAAAAGAGTCTAATAATATTATCCAGTATATTTGCATAAATGAAGTCGTGGTTCTATGAGGCTCAACAAAATCTACCTCCATAGCAACCCCTGGGCTTGAGAACACCATCCAAAATACAATTCACCTCCATGCCCTCTATACTAATGAGTCTTTGGCTGCTAGGACAAAGAAACAGGTGCTCTGTATACAAAACAAAGTTGTTCAATTACTTCTACTATCATCATAACAACCTTACTCTTTTCTAACAACTTGATTTTTTCAATAAATCATGTATTTATTTTTCAATTCCAGTTAATACGATATTTTTCTTCATTCCTATGTGCTACAACTCGCTAATTAAATTAAGCTAACTAACTTGCTATGCAACCCGAAACTCTTATTCACTTCCTGCCTGGCATCATTTAAAACTAAAAAACTACGGTTATTCACAACCCATCACTTTCTTTACCATCCTCTTCCATTAAAAATTGCATATTGATGCAATTGTACAGCTAAAGAAGATGAATTCTTTGAAAGCGGCCGCTTTGCTGAACTACTTGTTCCTTTCTTTTCATTATCTCACATAGTCTAACCATCAGATGTATATAGCAATTCGCAATAAATTGTGGATCTTCTAGATTTAAGTGTTTTTTAATTAATACAGTAGAAGTTAGAATTCATGGGCCATGAAATCGGGTCCCAGTGGCTGAATGGTATGCGAGATCACCTTGTAACCGGAAGATCCTGGGCTCGAACCCTAGTCGATGCGTACTGCGGACAATTTTCAAACTAGGATTAAGCAGCTATCCAGTACTCTCTGGTTTTCAGTGGTTCTTTAACTGATATTAATCCGTGATCAACTCGTAATATCAGATCTAATCCTTACAAACCAACTATAGAAAAGTAATTTAATCGTTGAATATTTCTCTCCAAAAAAGCACAAGAATTAAATAAGTCTCACCTCTCATAAATAATAAAATGGAACATTCTGTCTAGAATTTTGATGTATCTTTTTGAAAAAAACGTCTTTAAAGAAACTTCCTGTTAGTGTAGCTTAGTTAAATATAATGCCTGTTGTATGCAGAGAAAAAAGCTGGGTAAAAATACATTTAAATGCCAGTTCAACGAAATCATTTGAAAGCTGACTATTGACGAATCATATTTACAGTTTGTGAATTATTTTCACTTTACACAGTTCGAAGAGGTCATATTTTAACACAGTTTCCTGTTGAAACCAAAATTAATCAGATAGCGATATGTGGTCTCCTTAATGCCACGTAATGACCAGTTCGCCTATGTAGCTAGCTAGGAATCCAGTCGATTGAAATGACTCGACTCCCTGAGCTGAATCAAACTCGCTTCACCGATTATGAGTTTGATCCCAAGCAAGCAAAATGGTTGTCACTTCGATCTGATTGACCAGCAACCACTACTGGTTTATGTGAGTGCTATGAGAATGCTCATTTCGCCAAATCAGTAGCACGTAGGTTTATGATTATCAGTGACTCTAAACATTTACTTTCCCTAAAAATATGTATAGCTACAACTAGGAATGTTCCCCTTGTGAAACTAAACAATTAAAGTACTTTTGCTAGTATCATCCGTAAATTAAAAACGATTTATGTGAAAATATAAGTTTCAGATAAGTTAATGATAATGACATAATAATTAAGATGGCTTTTTCATTAATTGATAACTCAGAACAGTTTGGTGACCAATATATTACATAAAATACAAAAGAATGGATTCATTCTTTAGCTGTGAGTACACAAAGTCTTCTTCTTTGCAAGCATACAGGTTCATACATAACACCAAGGAATTTATTCAGTATCTTACTATAAAATAACCTAGATAATACACATATGAAGTACGAACTCATTGGTTTTGCACATGTGTCAATTTGTAGAAATATTAATCAATTATATACAGATAATCATGGGTGTACAAAGAAAACCAAGGCAATACAGAGAGTAAAACCTGAGGAAATCATAAACAACTACTACTCGCAAAAATATTTTAGGATATTCAAATAACCTGTAGTATTTAAAATGAAACTTGAGACATTACTCAACTGAGTAAACTAGTCAATGCAACATATTTCAAAGTCTTCAAAGTGGTGTGAAACAAAGCCAATGTAGATGTATACATAGAGAAGGTGATTTCACTGAGATCTCAATTAAAGCCGCTTAGGTGAGTTCTGAATCAAACACATATATTCACTAGCTCATCTTTATTACATCCTCTTCTTCGCAGTACTCTTTAGATGGTTCTACGATCGCCAGTAGGCTCTCATTTCCTTCTCACACGGTTTCCTCCATGTCGTTGTCAGACATCCAACTTGTCTTCCCCCATTCGGGTTCTATTCAAGGACCTAGTGTTTAATGTCACTCAGCAATCCTCTTGGAGTGGACCCGATCCATCTCCGATTTTTCTACATATTTAGTAGGTAATAGGTTCTTCATTAGTTCGTTCTTTGTTGCCAACCTTTTCTGACCAGGCCATCTGAATGGAGTAAAGTCAGACTGTTAGAAAGCCTTTTGATGACGCGTTAGCCAAGTTTCTGATGTATATAGAAGTGGTGGCTGAACATTATTGTTAAAAATCCGAATTTCGTTCATCATGCTAAGTGCAACAGATTTCCTTTCCTATCCTGATAAGCTCTAACATCCTCATCACCACTGTCTTCTCTATATTCTCATGGAGGAAGCCTGTTCTCACTACTTGTATGTTTTGCCTTCAGGTCTAATACTAATAGCATAAACTTGTATACTAGAACTAAATAGTAAGTTTTAATAATCCACATAAAAAGCATAGAATATCGAATACATTTCCCTGAATACATAATCAGAAAGCAATGACATTAAAAATAATAACTCAAAAATCTTTCAGGCCATCGTCTTGTTTTATCTGTCATTTGAACAGTAACAGTTAATGCATGAAATAGGACGACTTGCTTTCGAAGTCTTGAGATGTACATTAGCCTCAAATATAACCATTCAGCTGACCAATATTTTAAACATGAACAATCAAATATCAACTTGAATATCTATT